GGATGACTCAGCTGTCCCACTCACACCTTATCCCAGCTGGAATTTCACTGTGATGTCAGGAGATATTGCAGTCAGCACTGTGAATGACTTTAAAACTGTTGCAGGTCCTTGAAATTACAATCTTGATATTGTCTCACCTCTGAAAGCCAAGCCTGTGTGCTGAGAACAATTTTTGTATTTCTAAATGTTGTTGTTATGTGCTGTCAAGTCAGACCAGAAGTCAAGTCAAAACAGAACTGTCAGTCATTTTCAGGCCTTTAAATTGCGTGGGAATAACTTGCTCATTTTTATCCTGTGGAGCAGCTAGGGTATTCAAACTACATGCCTTTAGGTTAGCATCGTAACTCTTTATTCACTAGGCTACCAGCTCTCCCTATTTCTTAGGGATAAAAAGCATTTAATATGGATTGAAGCTCAACATCAAGAAAGCAAAGATGCTCGCTACTGGACCAATTGATAGCATTATGATAGACGGTGAAGAAATTGAGATTGTTAACAGCTCTAGTTCGTTTGGCGCCACAATCAACACTCTTGATACCAGTAGCCAGGAAATCAAAATACAAGTTGCATTGGGAAAGTCTGAGGTCAGGGACCTCTCCAGAGCAATGACATCAGTCTGGAGACTAATATTTGTCTGCTTGCTAGGCATCAGAAAGCTAGGCAATGATGAAGGTTGAAAGAGAATTGATGCCTTTGAGCTGTGGTGCTGGAGAAGAGTGTTGAATATATACCATGGACTGCCAGGAGAATAAACAAGTTTGTCCTGGAGAGGATGAAACCAGGCTGCTCCTTGGAGGCAAGGATTTTTTTTTAGGCAAGGATTTTGAGGCTTCTTCTGACATACATGTTGCAGGGAGAGACCAGTCCTTAGAGAGGAACATTATGCTTGGAAGGGTAGAGGGACAGAGAAAGAGAGGAAGACCATTGATGAGGTGGATTGATTCAGTGACTGGGGTAATGAGAGTGGGTGTGTTAGAGATAGTAAATAAAGTTGTCCCAGGATAGAGCTATTATACATGAGGTTACTATGAGTCACAAGTGTTGTGACAACACCACAAATAAATCCAGATAATATTTTGTGACATGAAAGTTATAAAACTGTCATAACACTTAGGTCTCTACATAATTTTATTAAAATATGTCCATGATCACTTTAAAATATATTATCTATGATAACTGCTTGTTTTGGTAGAAAGTGCAGCCAAAGTGCTCATTGGAGGCAAAGATATTGAAGCTTCATCTCACATACTTTGGGCATGTTGCTACGACGAGGGCCTATTCCTTGGAGAGGGACATCATGCTTGGAAAGGTGAAGGGCCCACAAAAGAGAAGAAGACCTTCAACCAGGTGGATTGACACAGTGACTGCCACAGTGGACTCTAGTGTCTCAGAAAGTCTGAGGATGGCATGAGACAGGACAGGGTTCTTATCTGTCAAGCTGTGGAGTTGCTATGCATCGTATTCTATTGACGGCACCTAACAACAACAACAACATGATTGCTTTTGGAGTCTCTGCATCATGCAAATAAGTGGTTATTGCATTTAGCTGTTAACCAAGTTTTGAGGCTTAAGTCCGTCCAGAGGCTCCTTGGAAGAAAGTCTAATGACCTGTTTTCCGTAAGTCAATCATTAAACACAGTTCCACTCTGACACAGGGATTGCAATGAGTTCGGAGCTCAACTTAACCGCTTTAGTTTATTAGCTTTTACAACAATGGTTGAGTTGAATAGTTGCAGCAGAGATGATGTGGCTGGTAAACCCTAAAATATCTACCACCTTGCCCTTGGTGTATGTTAGCTTATAACTTGGATGATAAGTCCATGTTAAAACCTTGCTGAAGTCTGTGATAAAGTCGGTCATTCTGGACCCCTTGCTCTGCTGGAGCAGAAAGCATCTGGGTCCAATGAAGGATGCTGTAGAAACACTGGAGTAATGACAGTTACTCATGGCTGAGAATAAACCTTCAACTTATGGAACCCTCAAACATTTGCCTTAGAGGTTCTTCTTAAGTGTTCTCTTTAGTGACTGACCAAATGTCTGCATATTTAGAGGAGACCTTTGAGGAAGTCAAATAATGGGCCAGATGAATATATTTATTAAATACCAGCTAGCAGACTGCAGAAAAAATATGTAAATATTTATCAGCTAGAAGATGTTGATAGTACACCAAGTCAAGTTAGGATAAAATAAAATAGAAATGATATTCTGTTCTCTAAAGTCAATGGACCTAAATTCCATCTCTTCAGAACTTCTCTTATGCACTGAAACCAGTAAAGGAGAGGAAGGGTGAAAGGGGTGATTGCCTCTGGGAAGGGGGTACTCAGGCTGCTTGCTTATTTTCTTGGCATTGGTCCGTCTTGGCCAGTAATGAACTTGACTTCCGCTTTCGGACCTATGCAAAACTACGTGACCATCTTTGCCCCAAGTCATCTTGAAAACTTATTGAAGCATGAAGGCTTGCACTTTCTCAGCTGATGTGCTTCTTCTTTTGCCATGGATATCATGATCTGGATATTATGGGGAAGAACTGGGATCTGAGGAAAGATAGGATCTCGAAGAAAGATGGCTCTTCTAGCTCTTTTGGAATCACTGCTATGAATATAGAAACAAGGAACACTTGTTTATTCTTTGCATTCTGTTAGCAAAGATGGATATTTCTGTTGTCCACCTTTGGACACCTCCTCAGCATGACCTTGGACAGACTTCTCTGTCCCTCAGCTTTGATCTCTGCCTTTCTTGAGCAAAGCTCCTTTATCTCATTCAGTTACTGTCCCATCTTACCTCTGCCTTATTAAGCCTAGGCCAAAGAGCTCTAGCTCTCTGAAGCAGATTTACCTTCCCTAGCTCCTCGATTAAAACAAGCGTGGAAGCAGGAGTGGAATTCACTTCTGAAACAGCTTGCCTCTGGAAACCCTATGAACTTGGAGAAACTATGAAAGTTATATAAGTGTTCAGGTCCTTCGTTCATAGGGTCACTATGAGATGCCTAGGACTCGATGGCACTTAACAACAATAAACAACCTTTGGGATTCTCCACAAACCTAGAGGAATCAGGATGTGGAATTCCTCTGGTCATTCGGGAGGTTAGACTGAGTTGGCATTTGCCTTAGTCACCCAGTGCTGTTCTGGCAAAACGTCACAAGGAGGTGGCTTTCACACACAGTAATTTTTTTCCCCACAGTGTCAGAGATCAAGGTGCCAGCCTAGGGAGATTTCTCTGTCTTTAGGCTCTGAGGGCAGATCTTTGTCGCTTTCGCTTCTGTTCCCTGGCTCCTTGGTAATCTTTAGGTGCCTTGGTATCTATCGCCCCTCATCTTTGATGGCACTTGCTTGTTCATCAGTATGGATGGTGAAGAGATTGAGATAGTTAACAGCTTCAGTTTGCTTGGCTCCACGGTCAACACTCTTGGCACCAGCAGCCAGGAAATCAGGAGATGAAATGCACTGGAAAGGTCAGCTGTCAGGGAACTGTCAAGAGTACTGAAGAGCAATGATGTCAAGCTGGAGACTAAGGTGCTCTTAATCCAGGCTGTATTCTTCAGAGAGTTGGACAGTGAATAGGGATAACAAAAAGAGAATTGATGCCTTTGAGCTGTGGTGCTGGAGATGAGTGTTGAATATACCATAGACTGCTAGGAGAACAAACAGGTTTGTCCTGGAGAGGGTGAAGCCAGAGTGCTCCTTGGAGTCAAGGATTTGGGCATGTTGCAAGGAGGGACTGGTCCTTGGAGAGGGACATCATGTTTGGCATAATGGATGGGCAACGCAGGAGAAGAAGACCCTCGATGAGATGGATAGATTCTGTGAGTAGAGTGATGGGAATGAGTGTGTTTGAGATGGCGAGGTTGGCACAGGATACAAAGGCATTTAGAGCTCTTGTACATAGGGTCACTATGAGTCGCAAGTGACTCGATGGCACATAACAACAACAACAACATCTCAGAAAAGATTGATTTAGGACACGCTCTGCCCTAATACTGTTTCATTAACATAATAACCCCAACTCATTCCTAAATGGGATTACAATCACAGGGACAAAGGATTGTATCATAGTACATACTTGTGGGACAGAAATTCAGCCCACAACAGTATCCATTTCCCCTCCGTTGTCAATTTTGATAAATAAGATTGTATGAAGCGCTTCACTTTGCTGTATATAGGAGTGCTATGATTTGATGGCACCTAACAACGAAACAGCATGGAGAACTTCAGATTGTCCCAAACTTAGTAGTATTACTCTGAATAGAATGAACTGAGCTTTTTATATAGTAGTGGTTCTGTTTTTTGAATGGTAAGGAATTTGTGGGAGTACAAAGTGGTATTGATTATTTAAAGAAAAAGTGCTTTTGGTGAATGTCATAAAAATGCAAATTTTATTACATACATGGACTCTTTATAGGCTAAGGCTTTAAAAATTCATTTATTCATTCAATAAATATTTAACACATTTCATTCAACAAATAGTCATTCAATAATTAACTAAATTATAGGAACTGTGCTGTTTGCTTGTTTATTTAAATTCATCTTGTTGTTGTTTATTATCTTCGAGGTGAGCATGACTCACAGCAACCCTACAACCAAAGGCCTGAAACCTCTCTACAACTACTGACATTTATCAAAGTTTATAGAGTTTCTGGAGAGATGTTGTTTTAGGAAGTGAATGCCACTCTTATGATGTCTTAAATAATAGAATTTCCTAGCATTTTCATTTCCTATGTGTATTAAGAATTTCAGATAGCTTTCAGAGAAAAAGTCAATAAACATAGTTTATTTTATATTTTAACTTTTATAATTTTAATTATATTTTAACTGTACGACTTCAGTAGCACAGGCCCCATGCTTATAGAATGATTATTAAAATAAAAACAAAACCAAAAAAACGGAACCTACCATGGGTATCATTGGCAGAAATTATAGAAGTGAATTTTGGAAAGTCAGACTGCATTACATGCATGGAGTAGTTAAACTATGTTTAGTGACCCATGTACTCTTTTTGTTAGGCCCGCAAGTACATCATGGACTCCATGGGGGAAAACTATGCTGAAGGCGTTATCCTGGACTTGGAAAAGATGTGGGAGGAATCTGATCCCCGAACGCCACTCATCTGTCTCCTGTCGATGGGCTCAGACCCTACGGACTCCATCATTGCCTTGGGGAAGAGACTGAAAATAGAAACCCGCTACGTGTCCATGGGCCAGGGCCAGGAGGTCCACGCACGCAAGCTCTTGCAGCAGACCATGGCACGTGTAAGGACAAATGTCTAATTTTGTTGAGATGATGGTTGTTAGGCAGCAATGTAGAAAAGAACTGATGAGCCCTTAAGAAGAGTTTGCAGTTGTGTGATGAAGGGTGTTACAAAGCGGAGATATGCATAATGTCTGTTAGACTGCCATACAATCTCACAGAAAATAGTGAGAAATAGCAATTTCAGAAAAAAAGAGACCATCAAACTTTTGCTGCTGACCAGACATAGTCAATCCTAAAAGCCTTATTTTTCAACCAGCTTATATGTGGAGATACTATTGTACTTTTAATCAGAAATACTAGCTTTAATGAGATACCTTTTTACTTTGAATTTCAGATGCATGGTTATTGTTTCAGATTGGTAAGGTTGAATTTAAAAGGAGCCACTCTAGCCTCTAGTTTATATCTATTTTCTTTCTACTCACAATCCTTCAGCCTTCAGTCAGAACCAACTCATAGCTGATCCACCATTCAGTTTCTGAGGCTTAAATTGCATGAAGGAGATGCTCACTTTTGTCCCATGGAGCTGTGAGGGGATTTGAACCACCACAGACCTCTGCCTTTAAAATTAGCAGCACTTTAAAAAAAAATTATTTTATTAATTTAAATGAACATTTACAGATTTTGGATTTTCATTCATTCATTGTTGCACTTTTTCCTTTATCCCCCCCCCCAGTTCTCTCCTTTCTTTAAAAGGCAAAAGATAAACTTTTTCGTTAATATACAATCCCCCCGACCCCGACCCTGCCCCCCCCACTGCAAATCTCCACTATGCAACCTTAATTCTGGATTCCTGTGATAATTATAATATGCTATCATATATGACTTTTAAACTGTTCTCTCCCTTATCTGTTTCAAGTCAGTATACATAATCTATCCAGGTTTTCTCAGTCTTACCCCAACCCTGATGTCAGTCACATTCTACAACAGTGGCACCATGCAATATTTGTCCTCTTGTGACTGAGATATTTTAATCAGTATAAGGTCCTCAGGGGTCATCCATTTTTAAAACTATTGCATGAATTTCTTGTTTTTCAATGCAGCATAATATTCCATTGTGTGAATATTCCATAGTTTCTCTATCCATTCATTTGTTGACAGGCACTTAGGTTGTTTCCAACTCCTTGCTATTGTGAACAAAGCTGCGATGAACATGGGTGTGCATATATCTGCTTGGATGTCAGTTATGGTCTCTTTAGGGTTTATTCCCAGTAGTGGAATTGATGGGTCAAACGGTATCTCTATTTTCAACTTTTTGAGAAAGCACCACACCACTTTCCACAGAGGTTGCACCATTTTACACTCCCACCAACAGTGAATAAGGGTTCCAGTTTCTCCACAACCTCGCCGGCATTTGTTATAACTTGTACTTTAAATACATTTACAAAAATGATTGCATTTAAAGTTTTGACATGATAGAGCAAAATAAACCAATCACCCAAACAAAGCAAAAGGAATGATCTACTCAGTAAAAGGAAAACAAGGTAGTTGATACAGACTGTAGGAAATCTGGGAGGCAGTTGCTTGGCAAGCTGACTGGAAGAGATCCGTATTTGTACCCATTTCCAGGAAGGAAGGTTGTCATTGTTATGTGCCATCACCTGCGACTCATAGCGACCCTATGTACAACAGCCCTAAACCCTGCTCTATCCTGTGCTAGTCTTATTGTCTCTGATTCATCTACCACCATAACCCCTGTCACTGAGTCAATCCATCTCATCGAGAGTCTTCCTCTCTTGCACTGTCACTCTACCCTCCCATGCATGCTGTTCCTCTCCAAGGACTGGTCCATCCTGGCAACATGTCCAAAGTATGTCAGACGAAGCCTCAGAATCCTTGCCTCCAAGGAGCAGCCTGGTTTCACCCCCTTCAGATTGAACCTGTTTGTTCTCTTAGCAGTTCATAGTATATTCAATACTCTTTTCCAGCATCACAGCTCAAAGGCATCAATTATCCTTCTGATCCAAGTAAAACATTTCTGAAGGTTGTTTTTCATATGGCTCGAACAGTACTTAGACAATCTCTAGAAATTCAGGCTGGACTTAGAAGAGGCCATGGCACCAGGGATATCATTGCTGATGTCAGATAAATCTTAACTGAAAGTAGAAAATACCAGAAGGATGTTTACTTGTGTTTTATTGACTATGCAAAAACATCTGTGTGGATCGTAACCAATTATGACTGCTATTGAGGAGAATGAGGGAGAAGGATGGGCAGTCTCCTCCCACGTGATTAATTTACTGCCTCTGAAAACTTGCTGGTGGGTCAACTATGAGTTGGCTCCAACTCGATGGTACACCACCACCACCACAACATTGAGGAAGATGAGAATCCCAGAACACTTAATTGTGCTCATGTGAAACCTCTGCTTAGACCAATAAATTCTTGTCCAAACAACAAGGGAACATTGGTTCATTTAAAATCAAGATGGCTATGCATCAGGGTTCTATTTCCCCCCAATAACTATTCAATCTATATGCTGAGTTAATAACTTGAGAAGCTTGGCCTAGATGAAGAAGAATGTGGCATCAAAATTGTAGGAAGATTTATCCAAAGTATGCATTATGCGGAGGATACAATCTTGTTTGTAGAAAGTGAAGATGACCTAATGCAGTAACAACCTTTAATGTGGATTACATCTCAACCCCAAGGAAACAAAAGTCTTCACCACTGGACCAAGAGGCAATATCTTATTGAGGGTATTTCTCTTTTCACCTGACCCTCTGCCTTTCCCATCAGGACGTCTTTTTCCAATTACTGGTAGCAGCAGCCAGGAAATGAAAAGAATGTGTTGCACTGGTTAGTTGCATCTGCTGTCAAGAACGTCTTTAAAGCTCTAAAGAGCAAAGATGTCAGTTTACAGACTAAGGTGTGCCTGAATCAAACTCTGGTATTTTCAGTTACTTCCTGTTGTTGTTGTTATTGTTATGTTCCGTTGAATCGCTTGTGACTCATAGCAACCCTATGTACAACAGCCCTAAACCCTGCTCTGTCCTATGCCAATTGCATTGTCTCTGACACACCTATCCCTATTACCCCAGTCACTGAATCAATCTACCTCAGAGAGGGCCTTCCTCTCCTGTGCTGTCCTTCCACCCTCCCAAGCCAGAGGTCCCTCTCCAAAGACATTTCCCTCCTTGTAAATGTCCAAAGTATGTCAGGCGAAGCCCCAGAATCCTTGCCTCCAAGGAGCAGCTTGGTTTAACCCTCTCCAGGATGAATCTGTTTG